ATGACATTAAAATAAAATACATTTATGAAATAAAGAACAGCGTGTAGCCAAAAAAACCAAGACAAATGTATATTCACCCACCCACCCACCCCCCCGAACTAATATTTCGTTCATTCAGAAACCTTACTGGGAGGGCAGTGTTAACTACTATCTGTACTAAAGAAAGGGGGGGGGGGCAGGTATTGATTTCTGTACACGTCAATATTATGGTCAATAAAGCTTGATATAAATATCAATTGTCTCTTTGAAGAAATTAAAATCGCTAGACCTTTTTTTTTATTACACAAAGTACCACATTGTAGTTCGTCGCCTTAAGCTTTTCATCATTGGAGCGTCTTAGTTCCCCCCCCCTTTCCCCCCCCCTTTTTTTTCCCCCCATAAACCGAAACAGAAGTCAGCTGAATAGGGCGTTCAAGAAACAATCATTTTTATTTAAGACCATTGTTGCCAGGTAAATTGATTTTTTTGTTTTAAACATGTACTTTAATTTTACTACTCAGTGGCACGTACCTTTTCATCGAAAGAAATGTATTCATCTGTAACACAAACAGGGAATCAATATCTCAATTTCAAGACTGCACGCGCGGACAGACTTTAGAGGTTTTTGTGTTCTTGTTTTTTTGTTTTTTTTTTGTTTTTTTAATTGTTTTTTTTTTACTTTTTTTTTTGGTGTAAACTCGAGGTGTGCTTTTCCGGACAGAACGCCGTGGCAAATGGGGCACACATTTAAAACACCAGGGTTACTACCCCTTGTGGCTTGGACCTCCTAAATTCAATACACATGTTTTTTAAACGTTTTTTCATTTACAAAATGTTCCTAAAACTAAAACACACAATGTGAAGAAAATCAATTCAATTCTCAAGTGTATCTATGTATAACATACTAACAGATCCACCACAAGCGCGCTTAAGTCTTTTTAAGAAGTCAATGCAATAAGTTTTTTTTTCTAAATCTGACCAATATATATATATATATTTATATATATATATATATATATATATTTGTACATGAAATTTAAGAAAATGAGCGCCATTTTCATTGTGCTTATTATATGTACGGAAGGTAAGAATTATATGTATAGAATTTAAGGATTATATGTGTGGAAGGTAAGAATTGTAAGTATGGAATTTAAGAATCATATGTATAGAATGTTAGATATGTATGTATAGCAGGTAAGCATTGTATGTATAAGAAAGTAATAATCATATGTATATAAAGACGAATTGTATGTATAGAAGGTAAAAATAATGTGTATAGAAGTTAAGAATGATGTGTATAGAAGGTAAGAGCTAAATGTAGAGAAGGTAAGAATAATGTGTATAGAAGGTAAGAACGATGTATTAAAGGCTAAGATATCATCATATATTTAAGATATCTTTTTCATAAAACTTAACAAAAGTTTCTATACGTTGACGCCAACTAACCTGGCATCAAAGACCGAGTACACGATGTGTTTCACATTTAATTGATTGTCAAATAGTTAAGTCTATTAAAAACCCGAAATGATGATTGGCAGATTCAAATATTTATTTCTCAAATATTTGGAAAACCAAAAATATTTTAAGAAGAATCCAATCTGGATGTCAAATAAATTGGCGGGTTAAATAGATACTTCCTTGAAAATATAATAGTTTTTTGTTTTTTTTGTATGTAGGAGATGCGAATTATTTTACTAACACATTTATATCTTTAAATACCTATAAAGTATTAAAATATATCCTGTCAAGAGGAGTTCCTTATAGATGAACCTAACAGATTTCAAATCCTTTATTTTTACCTAAAAATATTTATTATTAAAAAAAAAATAAACAACAAAAAACGAAAAAAAATGTATGTCTGGACGTGATGACTAGGGGTGTATAACCACTAACCTCTCCACCATAAAGTATGGAGTAATTTAAAAAAAACAACAAAAAACTATTGATAGCGGATTCTTACTAGCCACCCGTTTCAGTGCTGACGCTCAAATCTTTCTCTTTAAAAAAAAAAAAAAATCCTTTATTTTACTTATGTTCAGGTTTCCATCAGGGCACAAGCCTTCAAAGGACCCATTTCACGCAGTCGAATCAAACCGGCCTTAAGGTCACGCAGCTTGGGACCACGGTGACCACTGGGTCACGTCTGTCATGCGCCGCATCGTGTCTTCAGAGGTCATCCCAGTGCACGTGCTTCTTCTACAATCGCAAGACCTGGCAATGCAGACTAGGCGAGTGTCATTACCATTTAGTTTAAGACTGTGCACAAGGCATTGAGTTATAGATCAGTGGTCGGAAAACGCATTAGTCACAAGAGCCAAAAATCAGCAGCAGGACGATTTTAAGAAAAAATTGAGAGCTAAAATTCTTTTCAAGAACCTGCCAAGAACCATGTTTTTTGCAGTCAAAACCGATTTGTAGCCGTCCCCCCCCCCCCCCCCCCCGGGCCGCGAACGCGTCGCTAACAAAGAAATAAAGTGATAATTCCTAGTCTTGCGGTAAAAAAAAATAAAACGAAGAATGTTGTGATAATTTCTGGGCTTTTTGTAAAAAAAAAAATAATAGAACAAAGAATGTGAGCATTCTTTACAAAAATATAAGAAGAATGGGAATTAGCGTTCAGGTGATAGTAAGTTGGTAAGATAGTGAAATAATAGGTTAGTAAGATAGTAAAAGGGTAAGTTAATAAGATAATAAAATGGTAAGTTAGTAAAAAAAAACACACTGTGTTACGTAGAAGTACTACATATGGTGTAGTTGGAGCTATAAGAATCGATCTGGCTCTCAATTGGCATATAAATCGAAGTTATGAATAAATTAAATTAATATAGTGACCATTATTCATTGGATCATAAAATATTGCCATGTTGACTTACAGAGAAGTCTGTCAGCCTATATTTAATGTTGGTACTTTGTCTTTAATGAAAACAATAAACTAATCACATATAAAACAAATGCCAATGAAATATCAGTCTATAAACTGGCTTACATCTATCATATCATTTTATTTTAGTTACCGGTACCGAATGCATACAATGCTGAAAACATATAGAAATAGTCTTTAAACATTAATCAGGGGAAATTGATCGTTGTGTGAATAACAAAGCAAGTGTATTTCAATTTCCTACACCGAGTCTGCTTCATTTCCCAGTGGTCCACCTCACTCATTTCACTCTCCGGTCTTTATCCCAATACTTCAGGCTCACACCTAAGTTACTCCACGACACCACTGGACGTCAGCTATGGGCAACTCTTCTCCAATGTCGGGCTATTCTGCGCCCACGAAAATTTCACCCTTACCACCAACGGAACCGCCAGCACGTGCGTGTGGCTGTCTGACGGCCAGCTGCCCTTCGGCGAAGCTTCTCTTCGATGTCAAGGTCAGGCGGGCATTGGTGATTCATAACTTACAACTAAGTCCAGGGGTGGGGGTGGGGGGGGGGGGGGTCTAATGATCCCTTAAACTGAATTAGATAGAAAAGATGCACTTTAAATTTAAAAAAAAAAATATATATTTTTTTGAATAAATTATTTCTTTTTTAAAATTGTAATATTGTAAACATGTAAACATCAAAAATACATTGTAGCGTTTGAGAACTTCTACTGCTGCATCGTGTTCGTCACGCCATTGGCTCAAACGGTGTAGCGGTTTGAAAGAGAAGATTTAATCGTGGTTTCCACTATGTTAATTTTTGTGATTGTTCACAAGTCTTACGTGGTCGTTCATAAATCTTAAGTGGTCTTTCATATGTCTTAAGTGGTCGTTCATAAGTATTAAGTAGTCTTCACAAGTCTTAAGTGGTCTTTCATAAGTCTTAAGTGGTCGTTCACAAGTCTTAAGTGGTCGTTCACAAGTCTTAAGTCATCGTTCATAAGTCTTACGTGGTCTTTCATATGTCTTAAGTGGTCGTTCATAAGTCTTAAGTGGTCGTTCACAAGTCTTAAGTGGTCGTTCATAAGTCTTAAGTCATCGTTCATAAGTCTTAAGTCATCGTTCATAAGTCTTAAGTGGTCTTTCATATGTCTTAAGTGGTCGTTCATAAGTCTTAAATGGTCGACCACAAGTCTTAAGTGATCGTTCACAAGTCTTAAGTGGTCGTTAATAAGTCTTAAATGGTCGACCACAAGTCTTAAGTGGTCGTTAATAAGTCTTAAGTGATCGTTCACAAGTCTTAAGTGGCCGTTCAAAAGTCTTAAGTGGCCGTTCACAAGTCTTAAGTGGTCGTTCAAAAGTCTTAAGTGGTCGTTCACAAGTCTTAAGTGGCCGTTCAAAAGTCTTAAGTGGCCGTTCAAAAGTCTTAAGTGATCGTTCACAAGCCTTTGGAAACGAAATTTCCGTAGAAACTCTAAGGGTGACATATAATCCATGTTTTTTGAAAACAAACTCCAATAATCGAGTACCGAATGTTCAATACGTTTCGATTCCGGATCTTTCTTTACTAGGTAAAATTGATTACTTAACGATTCACGTCTTCAATGTTTGTTCAATACTGAAATAAGTGTACATCAAATATATTTGGATTGATCTGCCCCTGTTAAAGCATTGGGGTGAATCGAGTTCAGAAAATTCATCCTTTAGGTCTAATCGAAGGAAGCATACCATTAATAAATAGCTGAGTGTCTCTATTTTATTTTTTTAATATATAAATTATTAGCTTTTTTAAAAATATAAATTTTCTTATTTTTAAGAAATGACTTGTTTTATAGATTATTGAAGAATTATGTTTAAAAATGATATTAAAACAATTATTAGTACTAGTATAAGGAGCTCATCTGTACATATTCCTAGTATCGGCAGCTCATCTATACATATTTCTATCCCACGGAGCTCAACTAAGCACATATCAAACATGAGGTGTACATCTAAACACATTCATAGTATAAGGATATGAGCGATGTAAATGCTTAGTATCATGAACAAATATACACATCCTTAGGATTAGGATGTGATCTATATATGAAAAACATGCACATTCTTAACATTATAAGATGATCTATGGACATTCTTAGCTTTAGGGGCACATCTCTACACATGCAAGGTCAAGGAAAAGGAGTACATTTTAATCAACACACTTAAGTCAGGAGGGGTCACTACGGTATGGACAGGTCTTAATGACATAAACGAAGAAGGTGTCTACACCTGGGTGGAGGACAACTCTGTCATTGATGATAATTGGAATTTTTGGGGACCAGGTTCGTCTATTTATTAACGTACTATATCAATGATATTCATCGATTTATTTAAATTCAAAAACAATTTCATTGTATCACAACTTGATTTGTTTTACATTAAGGACTTATGAAGTACTTAACAGAGGGTAACTTTGTACAGAGGATAACTTTACTCAGAGGGTAATTTTGCTCAGAGGGTAACATTGCCCAGAGGGTTACTTTGCTCAGATGGTAACTTCGCTCAGAGGGTTACTTTGCTCAGAGGGTTACTTTGTAACTTTGCTCAGATGGTAACTTTGCCCAGAGGGTAACTTCGCCCATAGGGGTAACTTTGCTCCTTATAATCATATGCTAGAACTCGTCTGTCTTTTGAATAGATGAATGCCGTAATTGTAGGAGCTCGCTCGTGGGGGGAGGGGGGGGGGGCTAGAATCACTCACAATTGAAACGCCACGCCGGGGGTTTAAGGCTGTGAGGGATAGCAGGACTATTCATATTTGCATGTTTCTAATTTATGCTAGAACTCGTCTGTCTTTTGAATAGATGAATGCCGTAATTGTAGGAGCTCGCTCGTGGGGGGAGGGGGGGGGGGGCTAGAATCACTCACAATTGAAAAGCCACGCCGGGAGTTTAAGATAGTGAGGGATAGCAGGACTATTCATATTTGCATAGTTCTCATTTTAGAAAAGAAAAAAAAAGAAGAAAAAGGTAAAACCTTTTTTTAAACAATTGTATTTCCTGCTGCGTTATTTTTTTTTTTTAAAGAATTGCATCAATCTTGTAATATTTAGGTGTTTTTTTTTTTTGGTTTTTGTTTTTTTTGTGTGGAAAATCCAACTTCCGGCAATAACAATGGCGATCAGATAATTTTTTTTATTTTTTTTAAACATTCTCTATTTCTTGTCGTATTTTCATTTGTCCTGTCTGCCGAGGAAGGCTCTTAGCCGATACGTTTATACCTGGCTGGCCTGTCTTTCGATTCAAGCTTCCACATACAGTGTTTTCACTATCTCCTTGTCTTTACAGGTAACCCGGATAACTCCGGTGACATAGAGGATTGCGTCGAATATCATCTGCGGTTTAACGACCACATATGCGCCACTTCCGAGTATTACCTCTGTGAGATGACACCACAACGTCTCTGAGACGACACAAATGCGTATTTGAAACCATTTTGAAGGAAGTTTACTATGGGTGTGTTGGTATGGTGTATTTAGATACTAAAAAAAAACTACGAATCCAAAAATTGAACTATGTCAATGGAGATATTGCATGTTACAGCATTTTTAACGCAAAGCAAAACTAAGTGTGTCAATATTATTTCATATTTTGATTAACACAAATGTTTCTGTAAATTGACGGACTCTTGTACTGCGATGGTCAAGAAATTCTATGTATTAATAGCAAAATATGATATCAATGAGGTGCCGCAATATTACAGAGGTAGGGACCTTGTCGACACAAATAGCTGACGTAAAATCAACTTTCGATTGGATGGACCTGCGTTTATGCGAGCTATGATTTACTGACTACTTTATTCTGTTTAATATACGGGCATGCATTTCTGCAACCCTCTCCATTTCCATTTTTCATTGAAAAATAATCTCCACACTAGATAAAAATTAATAAGCTTTACAATGGTATATTTCAAGTTTGAGCATATTACATTAAATGTGTGTTAGTATTTCTGAAGTAATCGTCAATTTTTTTTTTATCTGTCTGTGTGCGTTTATCTCCGACAGACGAAATATTTGACTAGACTTGTTAAAGTCGGTCAACTTTCCGACCAAATTTTGCCATTGTTGTACCTGTTTTGGAATTTAATTTTAAGACTTGTTACCGTCAAGCTTTTAATAATTGTATTGCTATGTACGCGCACATAAGCAGCCATGAAGATAGCATCGTGGCTTGTACTAATCTATGATATAACTAAATGACCTCTGATACAATGACCATTTCGATTTGTATATAGTTATATTCATTTTAAGCGCTCTATTATTACACAACACTTTATGTACTCTAAAATAAAAATTAAATAAATAAAGATTTTTTTATAATTGTTGTCAGGTATAAATATTTTTTTTTCCAAAGCGGCATAGTGTGCTAACGTATTCCCCTAAATCTTTTGATAACTTGCGCTCTTGACCGTAACAAAATAATTTCACCATACAAAATGTAACTCCTTATTATAGTAGCTGCATCTGAAGTTGTGAAGTTAGTATTGAAAGGTATCCACTCCTTGTTAAAAGATTTGTTAGAAATGTTGGTATATGTCTAAGATTAAACAAAAATAAATCAAAGTTAAAATAATTGTGTTTTGACAAAGCAGAAATTGCAAGAAAAACTGTCCTGTCAATTTTTCAAAGGAGCTGAAAATGACGACTCCTATTTTTAAATTCTTGATAGAAACTTTGCCCTTTGTTCGTGGTTGGCTGTCTGGCTGTCTGGCTGGCAACATCTTCTGACGATTACTTGACCCACTTCCCGTCAACTTTTTGAGCCGAAACTTTGCACATAGGCTCATCACCGATGACAACATATTCTTGTATATTTTTTAGCCGCAACATCCAACCCCAACATCCAACCCCAACATCCAACCCCAACATCCAACCCCAACATCCAACCCCAACATCCAACCCCAACATCCAACCCCAACATCCAACCCCAACATCCAACCCCAACATCCAACCCCAACAGCCAACAATCAGTTTTGTATGTTTTTTTCCAAGAGGAAGATGAAGGAAATATAAAGGTCACTGAATTCATGAAATAAAATTTCCGATAACTACACGAAATATTTTTTTTTTAATTTTAAATATCGCAAGTGCGTTCCGTGAAGATAATATTTTCTTTTCTTTTTCTGAAAAGTTGATCAAATAAATCTGCGGTCTAAAAGTGGGTGGGACATTTCAAGATTAATATAGCTCAGTGGAATAAAAAAAAAAGTGTGCGGTTGTGAGCCTTTGGGGCGGAGAACTAATTGGGATGCTAAAATAGCTGAGAACTCCATCTAAAAAAAAAAAAGGTACATACTCAAATCTCCAACGTACAGTCGAGAGCCTAACAGCTATCCAGCCGACACAATTATTCACCAAACACATTGCTGCTGACCCATTTTTAACAGTGAGAAGAACTCAGTTAAAGTCATGTCAAAACTAAATAAATAAATACCCACAATTCAATTAAATTACATTTAGAAATATATTAATATTAAAACAATTCAATTTAACAAAAATTGCAATGTTTTAATAGTAGTCATTTCTAAATGTAATTAGTCGACATATTTACTTATTTTTGAAAGCTACATTTAGGAACATTTCCCTTTTAAACCATTACGTTAAAAAAAAAAAGTTATCCATTAAAAAAAAAGGTATATTTAGAATTAAAAGATTACAGTTTGAATTAACGGTACAGAGTCCCAGTTCTATAAGTTTAAACGGGGATACTGTTAAGTAATTACACTTAGAAATGCTTAATATTAAAACATTGCAATTAGAAATTTTTTTTTTTTTTTTTAAATTTATACTTTGAAACGTTTTTTTAAAAAAAATATTACATTACAAAAAATTTGCCATTAAAAAAGGTATATTTAGAAATGTTTACTGATAAAAAAAATAATATTGTTTAGAGTCGAGTGAGTAAATGGCGCAAAGCCCCAGCTGCAATGTGTTCCTAGAAGTTTCAAGGATGATATGATGGGCAGTTTGTTGTTAGAAATGGGTTTCTAGAAGTTGGAAAATGTATAAACAGCTGATTATCATGAATTCCACCTCTACAAGCTCCTGATGAATGGGGAAGAGATGATATAGTAACATCCATGACGCTTATCCGTCACCAGCTTTACACCTGATTATCGTGGCATCTAATGTAAAGATAAATTCTTTCATCACTGTTTTTAAGTGTTGAATTGAAAAAAAAAAAGGGTAACATTCGATTTCGATTGTGACGATTTCATCCTCACCATACATTCTCCTCTCCCACCGTGTTCCCAGCTTCTTTTTTTCCTTCGAGGACCACACACCCACACACACATACACACACACACACACATGTTGTCTGCATGGCATCGCATTATGTTCAAATCACTTCCTTTCTACTCCTCTTTACTTTGTTTTTGTCTGGTTTTAGCGCCCTCTCCTATATTTTTTCTGATTTAGGTAGGATATGTATATTGATATTATGTAAATTTAATTTATACTTATTTAAATGTGTTTTGTTTGTTTGTACTGATGAAGGCATGTGCCGAAACGTTTAATTGTGTATAATGTATAATTACTATTAAAGCGGAACTTATATTGTTATATTGACACAATTTGTTCGTGTCTTATTAATCTAAGCTGATAGAAATACGTTTCATTAATAATGAATATTTTGTTTTAATTTAATATCTGCTGCTGTAATCATTGAACTTATATTAGTTAATTTAAAAAAAAAAAATCAATTCCTTAATTTTTTAAATTTTACTTTTGCAAAAAAATAAAGGGAGATAGCTAAACTAAAATGTATTTTAGATTTTAAAAAAGAGTTGTCTTTACAATTAAATGTTATAAAAATTAAGTTCATTATATGCAATCGCTAAATAACTATCGATTTTAAGCCTATGTTTTATTTTTATTTTTTTTTACTTTTTTGCGTTTCTTTCACAGGCCTCTTTTTAATTATCATTTGAGAAAGTTACAAATCTAGACAAAAGAGAAAAAAATAATTCCGGCCAAGTTCTTGAGTTACGAACTCCGGTTATTACAATTGACAAATATTAAAGTTGCATAATGACGTAGGAGGGAAAAAGAATTTACACTACGTGAACCGAGGGCATTGACTATAAAGATACACACTTTGACGGCATTGACTATAAAGATACACACTTTGCTGGTTGAGTACTGAAATCAATTTGGATTTTTTTTTTTAAGGGGAAGGTTCTCAAATTAACCATTTTCTTCATACCTTTATGTTGTTTTATTGTATTTATACTATACCTACGTATTTTAAATCGACCCAATAAAAATATATACAGAGTAAGAATGAGTGTTTATAGTTATTAATTTTATTCGTATTTATTACGAAATGTTTAAAATTCATAATTTAAAAAAAAAAAAAACTATTTTCGTAAAGCTAAAAATACTAACCAGTAATATTTAAGTAAACGTAAACAGCAGGCTGAGACCTAAGACTATTTTCAAAATTAAAAAAAAAACTCATAGGCATCAGTCAGCTGCTATTTCTTTTTTCAAGCAACATTAAACAGCTGACTGAGAACTAAGATGGTTTTTAAGTTACAAAAAAAAAATGATTTAATACAATCATTGGTCTTAATCAGCTGTTTAAATTTTTTTAAAGGGATATTAAACAGCTGACTGAGAACTAAGATTGTTTTTAAGTTAAAAAAAAAATGATTTAATACAATCATTGGTCTTAATCAGCTGTTTATATTTTTTTAAAGGGATATTAAACAGCTGACTGAGAACTAAGATTGTTTTTAAGTTACAAAAAAGAAAATGATATAATTCAATCACAGGTCTCCAATCAGCAGTTAAACATTTTTTAAAGTCACATGAAACAGCTGACTGAGACCTATGATGTTTCGTTAAAACAGCTTGGATCACAATGAATGTAGTGACTTACAATCTCGAAACTTGTACTTTAAAAAGAACACAATTGTATCGTGGGCGGTGTGATAGAACATCCTAGTAAAACAACACCGTCTTTAGGACAAGAGATGGGCGAAAGTACCGAGGATTCTAAGCAACGTCTTTCCCTATTTGATAAAATAATCAGGAGATGTTTTGTCACGCTTTCGATTACCAATGTGACTTAGAATCCCCCCACCCCCCCCCCTTTTTTTTCAGTGTTAGATAAGAACAATGGCGTAAAAGATAAAGATGCTGATGTGGAGGTTCATTCCTCATTGTTTCAAAGCAGAGAATCAATTTTAAAAAAAACGTTAAAAAATGCACGTGGTCTTCATTGAATTGTTGAATCAATAAGCGTCATGAACTTGCTCCAACAGCTCTGTGGGTGGAAAAAAAAGTCGATCGAAATTGTGTAGAAACAATGATATAGTACGAGCGGTCACGTCATTACGACAATGCACCAAATACTATAATGATTTATGTGATGATTAAGTCGTTGAACAAAGATGGAACGTGCTTGAATGAATGTCAATCACCTTAACGCCACCATCGACTCAACGAAAGC